TCATGAAACTTTTTTTGTTCATAAGTTTTTTATAAACAATGAGCGACGGCTAAAACTTTTAGAAACGTACTCAGGAAGGTCATATTTACAATATATCAAAACGAGAAGCCGATCGGAGGGGGCTCCCCTATTCTGTACATTTACCAACTTGCTGTTGTTGAGTTGTTCCTTCCGAACTCTCAATCTCTCTATGTCTTTTCGCTGTATAGCCTTCCTAGAACACCTGCAAACTATACAGAAGTTGACTTTTGGAAAAACTTTTTCCTCTTAAGCGCTAACTTCCAACCAGCGATCGTCTGCGGTGATTTCAATAGGAAAAGCCCCCTGTGGTGCAGTACCCCTCCTCTCTCTAATAGAGAAGGGAAAAACTTAGAACATGCGTTAGTCAACTCTTCTTGGGTAGTTCTCAACAACGGCAGTAACACTTGGGCCTCCGCGGACCTCTCTAGGTCCTCCGCAATAGACCTCACCATTGTCTCTGATGTTCTTGCACCTCTCTGCACATGGGCTGTGTGCGAGTTTCATTATGGTAGTGATCATTTCCCTGTAATAACCACGGTCTCCGACAAGTTTTCTGGTCGCATTCCCTGTCGACCATACTACTCGGTGAAACAGGTACGCTGGGAAGAGTTTCAGAATGGGTGCCAGGAAGGCGTGGCCACCCTCCCCCCTCTGGATACAGTTGAAGATGTGAATACTGCTTACTCTAAGCTTATTGACCTTGTTAATAATTCTCTCCTGCGCGCAGGCGCCACCCGTACGACCTCTTCAAGGGCTTCTAGAAAGCCCCCCACTCCTTGGTGGGATGCCTCCTGTTCCGACATCTATACTCGCAAAAGAACCGCCTTTGCACAGTTTCGCTCACACCCCAACATAGCAAACTTGGACAACTATTGTCGAGTTGCAAATGAGATATCCAAAGCCCTAAGGAAAAAGAAACGCTTGGCCTTCCGCAGGTATTGTGGCTCCTTGCATGCGAACTCGGATATTGGATCCGTGTGAAGCACCATCAAAGCATTTTCTTGTGCACGAAACAAGCCTAGAGACGAGGGCAATAAAAACTGCCTTGACCTAGAAGGCTTCCGTAAAGCCTTCGATAAAGTTGCCCTGGTGGTCCAACCTCCCTCGGGGAGTTTCAACCTACCTGGGCCCTTAAATCCTCTAAACTCCAACATCAACAACGATTATCTAGATAGTCAGATTTCACACACGGAATACTTCTCCGTAATAAAGTCACTTAAGTTAAGATCGGCCCCCGGTCCGGACCTTATCACATATTCTGTTATATCACAATTTCCACTTAATCTTCACGTATATATAATCAAACTCTTTAACTTAATGTTCTGTAGGCAGACTTACCCGCCCTCATGGAGAGACTATTTCGTCATCTTCATCCCAAAGCCGGGACGCAAGGGCGCCTATAACCCGATATCTTTGGCTAGCAATCTTCTTAAAATTGTTGAAAAGGTTATGTGTCGTCGACTAGAGTGGTGGGTCGAAAATAACAACGTCCTCTCCCCACACCAGTTTGGGTTCAGACGTGGACTCTCGTGCACCGACAACTTGGCCACGCTAGTTTCTAGCATTAAGATTGCTAATAATTCTCGTCAAGTAACCGGGGCTGTGTTCCTGGACATCGAAGGAGCCTTTGACAACGTCGTACCTGACACGCTAGTGGCTATGCTACCCCCCCTTGGAATCACACCCAAAATGTTGGCTTTCCTGACCTCGGTGGTGGGTCCCAGGAGGCTGCAAAGGTACGCTTCTGGCACTTATGTACAGACCCGTAGTACAACCCGTGGACTTCCTCAGGGATCGGTACTTAGCCCAATACTATTTAATATCTATATGTCACAGGTCGAGTCTTGCCTGCCTGAGGGAGCTATGCCCTTGTGTGCCCCACGCTGACGATGTGGTAGTGTTCTACTCTAACCCCTCTGTGTCTAGTGTAGCCCGGAAACTGAATACGGCCCTGGACCAAATTCAGTCACACTTAACGTCTCTCGGCCTACAAGTTTCTCCAAGTAAATCCGTCGCCACCTTCTACTCCCTCTGTCCCCTAAGAAATATGAAGTGGCTTTTAGGAAAAAAGGGGGTTAGTATCTGCATGGGTGGGGTCAAGTTGAACGTGGAGTGGTCGATAAGGTTCTTGGGGGTCCACATAGATTACTCCCTCTCGTGGAAAAAACACGTCGCGGAAACAAGAAGGAAGTTTCTCCTTCGTATCAACATCCTCAAAGCATTGGCGGGAATTAGGTGGGGGTCTCACTCTTCCGTCCTGCTGACTGCGTACAAAGGTCTGGTGCGTTCCGTCTTGGAGTGGGGCTGTCAGGTCATGTTTCCGCGTGGAACACGAGAAGGCGTTGTTCTGGATCGCTTACAGTATGCTTGCGCTAGGGTCGTTTGTGGCCTTATGCGCACAACTCCAACTAATGTGTTGCTAGACGTCATCGGGGAACAACCGTTGCGGTGCCGACACAAGTATCTGGTTAGTAAATACGTGTGCAGGGTCTATGCTAGGTCTAGTCACCCTCTCGGACAAATCCTAGAAGACTCCTGTAGGACGTGGGAACCCGTGTGCCCAGCTAGTGAGTTCGGCCTCTTTTCCGTGTACCAAAAACTTCAGTGTCATCTTAAAGAAATTAGAAGGTTTGCGCTTCCGGGAAGCCTTGCCCTACCGTTTCATGCCGGGTACTTTAAGTGCGAGGTGGACATTGACACTAAACTACTTGTACGCCAGGCGGATGACCCTCAGTACTGTTTTAGCAACTTCCTCAAAAGTCGGGACTTCTCTAGGGTGTTCTTCACTGACGGCTCCCGAGCTCCGGGCTCGGACGGAACGTCACCCGCAGTAGGTTTCGCCGTGGTTTCAAAGGATCCGGAGCTTATCCACTATGAACGCGTTAGCAATAACTCCACCATCTTCGACGCTGAAGCCCAGGGCGTTATCTGCGCCCTGGAGTACTTACAAGATTTTAGGTTCGCAAAGGCCGTTGTGGCCTCTGACTCGTTGAGCGTGATCTCCTGTTCGGGGTCAACTGATCCCAAAGGAGTGCACTCCCCTCTCGTGTACCGCATAAAGGAATTAGTAATGAGGTTGAGGGACACAGAAGTGTCTGTGGTGTTGATGTGGGTTCCTGGACACAGCAATGTTAGAGGCAATGAAATGGCCGATAGGTACGCTAAACGCGCTCTAACCCTCCCTGAACCACATTCGGAGGGTGGGCTGGACGTCTCCTCGCTGTTCCCCACACTTCGGCGAGAGGCGCTTGACATGGCAAAGAGACAACTACAGGAAGAGGCAACCAGCAAGGAAACTGCGTATTTCCAGAAAAAACCTGTACCGCTGGGTAAACCCTGGTTTGTCAAAGTAAAGAAAAAGAAGGTCCTACCCCGCCCGTTAATCACACTCGTGTCTAGAATACGTTCACATCACACTGCTGTCAACCTACACTTGAAACGGAAAGGCATTGTGGCCTCCTCGGAGTGCCCGTGTGGCCACCCTGTACAAGATGTAAACCACGTCTTCTTCCAGTGTCCTATGTACAAGGACCACTCTGATAAATTAGTAATCGATTTGTACCATAACGGTTTCAGCCCTCCCTACAGTGTAGAGGAGGTGGCCTTTTCCAAGTGTTTTCGCTCAATGTACGCTCTCCTCTCTTTTGTTAATGCTACCAATATCAACATATAATCCTCTACCGTAAAATTTAAACCACCTTCAACTTTGTTACACCTGTACCTTTTACTCTTTTTCTGTACCCTTTTCTCCCTGTAAATGTAGCACCTGTAGTAAAGTCCCTAGTATCACACCTTCAATCAGTTTATCTCAGACTGGTTTTTGCTCCTCACGTGCAGGGGCGTGCGCCATAGAAGCAAAGAAGAAGAAGTAATGTATACTATACATAAATGCGCATATATACATGAAACGGAACGCAGCCAAGGTGACTACTACATAAATAAGGTACCACACTCAGTGTTAAAAAACATGAAAAAATCATTTTTCAAACTTTTAGAATAAAAACACATCAATAATTGTTAGAAGTAAAAAATATTTATTTAACAGACATTTTTTATGTATTATACAATTTCGCCTTCTTTTTTTCAATGCTAATTTGTTTATCTTTTCTAGTTTTTATCTTTGCATATTGACGCATTCTAAGCGTAATATAATAATGTAAAGCAAAAAAAAAAAAAAAAATAACGTAGCGCTTTATGTTCTTTACAAGGAAATCAGTCACTCTTCTCAAGTATGGCTTGTACAATAATTGAGAAGACAATCGCACGAAAAGCGAGAGATTCTAAATTTTAATCGTTTATTAAAACAACCGAAAACACTCTGCACTGTCTTCCTATATTTAAATTATATAACTACTATATTTTAATACAAATAAATAAATAATCAGAAAGCACAACCGTAAGGCACTTCAATAAGCGTAAAGCACGTACAGAACGCGAACTGTCCTAATGCTATTTTCTTAGACCACCTTCGTATCAGACTTTCCAACTCAGTTTCATTTTTCACTGATGGAAGTCGCGACCATGACTCAGAAACTGGCGTACCTTTCTTTTTTCTAGATCTACTAAATACTTCCACTCTTTTAGGTCTGAATAAACATTTTTATTTTCACTGCAAAATGTATTGCAATTAGAGATGCAGTGGACTTTGCTTCTAGGCTCTCTTATGATAATGTGTTTTTATTTATGCAGACTGTTTAATTTTGGATCATGGATCATGTGATTATAACAACATATAATAAATTCTTTTTTTTATTAAATAGATAGAAGCAATAAATAATCCGAACGGAGTTCGAGACTCGGACTTCGAACGATAGAAGCGCAAATAGAAATTGTGTCGGTTCCCGAAAACAATAAAATCGCGCCTAGTAATAACTCTAAAAATTCCACCTTGAAGCTATAGTGAGCAAGAAAAATTTATTCTTTAAACATTTCCGAGCAATTTTCCAAACAAACTCGGGTCGAGAAAAATAGAGCCCATAAAAATTAGAGCAGCTGACGCAAACAGAATTCACTATTAAGGGCAATGATTTGCCCTCAACTCAAGATTTTTTATTTATCACTCGGTAAACATCCAATGATAGCGTGATCAAAAAACTAACTCTCCTTCTTTTCCCTTCTCTACAAATTAGACAAACTGTCCAAAGTGGGGAGATCACCGATTGGCGATCTCACAAACCTACACGACTAATTAACAAATAAGAACCAGCAAGGTTCTCTCAACTGAGTTTTCCGATTGGAAGAAACTCGAAGAATTCTCGCTTACTCAAAAATGTACATAAGACGGGACTCTCGGGGCTGAAGCCAGAGAAAAATCGTTGATTTCGTTGTAAATCCCCGAAGTAGCGCAGCAAAAATCGCAAGTAAGTTGAATGCGGAGGATCTGGCCAGCCTATCAAGAATCAGCTAGCTGCATCAAAAACCGAACAGGGTTTTCAAGACTGCAGAAATAGTAAGTGCGCGTTGTGCCGATAACAAGTGCCAAGAAACATCGAAGCCGCACCGGTTTGAAGCAACCCACCGCCAAACATATAGCCGCTAAGCCATAGGGAAGAGTGAGACAAGATGAAGTAGAGAGGTAAGATGAGGTACTTGAGCTCCTGACCAGGTAGATGCTACTATCTAGCGGAAAAGCAGAGAACTAATGTGGGAGACGATGACAAAGCGCTATTGTGCGCAACGGCCATTTGGAATGCATTGTTCGCCGTAGGTGGAAGTTTTTTTTACGAAATGTGTGCGTTTTCGCCTGTGTCTTATTTGTTCAAATTTGAATGTGTGTTTTGGTAAGTAGTATGTTATTTTTTTTAAATCTTTTTATAATAATGAAGTAGTGTTTAAAAGTACTTTTACAAAGACAAAATCAAACTCAGCTAAACCCTAATCCACTACTAGCAATAACCATACTAAATGGCGTCAGTGAAGCAAGACGAAGGTTTTTGTTTGAAGCATGATGGGGTATCCTATCTTGCCCCGCATGTGTGTAAAATTTAACTCTAAGTCGATTTTTTTGCAGGTTGATCGAGATGGTGAAAAATCACAAAAAAACAACCGTTCGAGAGAAATGGTCATCAGAATCACTGAAGAATGCAATTGAGGCTGTTATTCAAAAGGAAATAGAATATAAAAAGGGGCAACCAGTTCTTTTAAAGTTCCCCAATCTACTCTTAAAAGAAGAGTTAAAATGGCAAGAGAAAAACCTAATAAATCAGAAGTGTTTTCTGTTTCTGTCAGTGGAAGTGTTTACGAATCCCTACCTAGTCCCATTTTAGTTCAATCTTTGGGGCCAATATACACTGTTTTTACTGCGAAAGAAGAAAATCTTCTTGTTGACTATATTTTAAAAATGAGAGAAAGATTGTTCGGCCTAACCTATTATGATCTTAGGCTTTTGGCATATCGGTGGACTGAAAAACTAGGTAAAAATCATAGCTTTTCGAAAGATAAAAAAATTGCTGGTAAAGATTAGTTATTTGACTTTAAGGCTCGTCACTCCCAGCTCTCACTGAGAAAACCAGAAGCTACAAGTGCTGCTAGAGCAGTTGCTTTTAACAAAATAAATGTCGGGAAGTTTTTTGAACTTTTGACCAGAGATGTTGACGAAAACCATCTCACCTCTGATAAAATATTCAATTGGGATGAAACTGGAGTGACTGTTGTCCCTAAACACATATAAAAAATAAAAATACTCTCTTTATAAGGCAGAAAACAAGTTGGCTGCCTAACGTCTGCTGAAAGAGAAAACACAAATTACCATTTAAGTTTGTTTTAGTGCTGCTGGAGCATACATGCCTCCTTTATTTGTGTTTCCTCGAGTCCGTGCAAATGATCAGCTAATGAATGAGTGTCCTCCTGAAGCATACACAGAGTATCATCTAAGTGGATGGATGCAATTTCACATATTTTTCGGTTGATTCAAAAAATTTGTCGAGTGGAGCCGAGCAACTAAAAAATCTCCAGTTCTTCTTTTACTAGATGGACACTTTACGCACACAAAGAATATGGCAGTAATAAAGTATGCTAGAGAAAATGGAGTTATTTTGTTATGCTTTCCACCACATTGTACACATTGCTTACAGTCTCTTGACGTAAGCTTCATGAAACCATTAAGTGATTGACTTCTATGATCAAGAAGTCTCTATGTAACTTAGGTCAAATCCAAGCCGTGTCGTTTCGCAGTTTCAGGTCGCAAAATTTTACAAAAATACTTTTGTAAGAGCAACGACCATGACAACGGCAATCAATGGTTTTCGTAAGACAAAAGTTTGGCCAGTGAATCTCAATGTTTTTAATGATCATGATTTTGCATCATCTGAAACTACTGAAAGACCACTTCCTGCATCCAATGGTACTCAGACTTCAAATAACTCCGTATTAGCTGGTCCCCAAGATCCCGAGCCTGCTGCCAACCGAGGTCTCGAGTCTGCAAATAACCAAAACTTCAAATCCTCTTCCCATCTTCTTCGCGTAACACCAAATACAAAAATTTCCACAAAACCTTCCTGTACACCTGAGGACATCCAATCAATACTCAGCAGCGGATTTCACTTAAAAAAGAAGCCTCGCAAGCATGGAAAGACTGCAGTTTTAACCGAGTCACCATACAAAAATAAATTGCAAACGGAACTGAATACAAAGACTGAGAAGAAATTACGGAAGAAAGAAAAAGACCAAGAAAAAAGAAAAAAAAAGTTGATTCCTGAAAAACAAAAAAAGAAAAATAGTAGTAATAGTCTTCAGTCACAATAAAAAAAAAACTAGTTGCTTGAAGCAAAAAAGAACTATAAGAAAAAGGAAAAGATCAAATTCTTCATGAATTGACAAAAATAGGCTCATTGTTCAGCTTTGAGATTTGTGCTAAGAGTTGCCTCATCTTGCCCCACCTGGTGAGGCAAGATAAAGGTTTTGAATGTTTAAAAAAAAAATATTTTTTTAATGAAAAAAAAACAAAAAGAGTCATTTGTATTTAAAACATTTACTTTATACTGCATAAATAAATGTGACTGTTTCTAGATTTCATGTGTGTTTAATCTAAACCCATCACATAGCAAAATTTATTTTGAAACGTACATATGCTTATCATAAATGGATTGATATGTCCTTCAATATTATGGCTACTTTGTATTCATTAAATAAAAACAATATTCAATAAATGTATTTCGAACATGAAACATTCACGTACTATGTTCGTGTTATAAACATGTAGGCAGAAAGGCTACAACCCTTCTTCTGCTCCCCCCGAATAGAACTCAAACCAATGTTAGGAAAAACTTAATCTTAAATTATTTTTCTTGGGGAGAGCAAGGAGAGAAGCAAGCCACTCTCCCTGCAAAGAGGCGTAGCCCCCTCTGTCTACATGCTTACAACACGAACAAATTAACAGAAAAAATAGTCTTAAGATGTCAAAAAAACGAAAATTTCTTAAAGAAAGTTGTTTTGTTTATAACTTTTTACTGAACAATGAGCGACGGCTAAAATCTTTACATTGTTACTCAGAGACATGTCCTGACATATGTCAAGATATCATCAGAGCATCTTCTCCAATACTAAACATTTACCAAAACAATATACAATAGAAAACAATATAAAATAGAAAAACTATTCACAATAACATAATTGTGTTCATAGTAAGACTACGCTTTAACTTTTTTTCCGTGTAATTATTAATAACTAATCCTAAGTACATAATTATTGTGGCGACTACAGCCACCACCATTACCGACGGCCGGCCGCGCAGTTCAAGCGCGCCGCCACTACGCAGCACGGCCGCGAGCCGTAACACGGTAGTGCAAAGTGCGGCATCGTCGATATAACAACGATGCTAAACCGTATTACACCACAGAGAAGTTCCGGACAGTGGAAAAGAAAAACCAAACAGCAGGACTATCAGCACCGGCAGACGACAAGAAGATCAGAATCAACCCCGAGGAAGCTTCTACAATCTCTCTGGTTAGAACTCCTCAATCACCGTCTCCATAATCGGAGATGCAGGTCCTCATTCCCCGGCTACCTTGGCAAGCCACCGGGATTCCAGTTTCCGCTACATCACCAAGGCACTGCTACGAAGCGTCACCTTGGGACCTTCCATCGCGCATCTCACCAGACGATCTACAGCGCACGTTACTACGCAGACGCTGCCCCCACTCCGTGTCCACAGAGGGAATCAGGTCTCGCTCCCCGCTCCTCGGCCACAATATAAAGAGCAAGAAACGCAGAGCGACAGCAGTGACTGGGAGACACCTCCACGAAGAACAAGGGCCGTCCAGACAGATATCACCGGCAAGATCCGCAGCAGAGATCATAGATCTACAGAGAAGCGACACCACCGTTCCCGCAGCCGACAACGCTCACAGCGATCAAACAACCCACCGGAAGTACGTTGAAGCAGAAGAGATCACAACCATAACCATCGTCATCGCAGGCTCTCCAGAAAACGACTTGATATTATAACACTAAACGGTTCTTGTCAGAACCTCACTGTATATAGAGTGTAAATAGTTGGACAAGAGAAATATATTTTTTTTTTTATCTCAGAAAGGTCGTAATCACTAGCGCTCCCTGATCTGTCCACAATCCCAACTGCCTACCTCTCGCTGCTGTTTCCTTATCTGCTGCTATACGAACACGCCACAACTATATACTTTGATAAAATTATATTTATTACTAAAACATAAAGATGTAACAAAAAAAATTTTTTTGTTACATCTCTATAAAAATATAAAAACTATTTAATGCAAAAAAACTTAGCGCGGCTACTCCTCAACTATAATGAAATTATTTCTTTGTGCGGCAGTCTGATGCAGCCGCGCCAAAATTTTTGCATTAAATATGTTTTTCGCATTTTGAAAAAATGTTTTCTCTTGTTACCAATTACATCTCTGTAATCTAATAATAAATATACTTTTACCAAAGTACATAGTTATATACTTAGGTGTTACGTCCTGTCAATTCCACTTCCTCCTCGCGACGTGACAACAACGGGATATGATATCATGGGAACGCCGCCGCGCAATACTGGCGCGAGACCGGATACCAATGACCAATAAAATCGAGAAACACCGAATTTGGAAAATTCTTTTTTTTTCCTCTTATTTGATTTTTATTTTCAATCTTAAACGGAAACTTACATCCCGGGAATGTAAAATCAAGGGAGATCCGATGGATAACGAGGAATCAGATGACCTATCGTGAGATTGGTCCCGAGTTTTCCGAGTCACGGATATAAAAGAGCCCCACAGAGCTCTTCGACTCAAAACAAAACAAAATTTTCCAAAGTGCGTTCCTTGTCAATACGTGAGCAAACGTAGTGCGAGCGAAACGAATGACTCAAAGGACAATTGTGTTTGTGACGGGTGTGGATCCTACTGGTTTGCAATTGGAGCTCACCCAAGACCGCCGCCGCCGCCGCTCTGTTGCTACTACCACCTTGCTGCGCCTATTACGAGATTAAGTAGTAAGTGCTACTATTAAGTCGCAAATACGTTACTTGTGCCTCACGCCGCGATCAGAATTTAAAATTCATAAAATTCTTTGCTAGTTGTTACAATTTTAAGGTAGTTACGATTGAGAACGGTTGCTCCCCTTGTCTAGAACGAGCTAACGCTGATACGGGCTGCAGACAATTCGCAAGAATCGTCAAGCGACTCTCAGCGCGCTCTCGCATCTCCGAACGAGCTAACGCTGATACGGGCCGCAGACGATTCGCAAGGATCGTCAAGCGACTCTCAGCGCGGGCTCTCGCGCACACGAACATAAAATCGCGGAAAAGAAACAATAAATAAAACTTAGGCAGCAACCGATCTCTAAGACTCGTGCCACCAAAAACTTATAATCACGAATTTTAAGTGGACCCGCCCGTTCCCGAAAAACGGTGGACGTCGAGAAATACCCTCAAGTGTTATCGGCGAAAAGCCGCAAAACGAGCCCGAAAACAGGCTGAGGCACAACGACAAACACCTGTCGAGACCCCCCTCACCGTACCAGACACGCTGCTAAGAAGTAGCGAAAATTATGAAAACAGCAATAGTAGTTATAATAATAACACCGACACACTACCAAATTCGCGAACTCAGTCGCCTCCCCGCTTCCCCTTTCCAACGCATCTAGAACCGTCATATTCTCCTGTAAGCCCTCCTGAGGTCTATTCTGCACCTACTCCTCCCCCGCGCCCTTCTCCACCCCGTCCTTCGCCTCCATCCTCGCCCGAGTTAGAATATTTAGGCAAGCGCCCTGCCGACCCCTCTCGTCCACGCACCTTCCCCCGTCCTCTCCATTTTTTACAAAATTACCACCCTTACCTCCACCGCGTATATAGTTGATCCCGAGAATCTTCATTCCCCCGAACTCCATCAGATAATTTCCACCTACTCTCCGAATGCACTCCTTACAATTAAATTCCCTTTCCTTGCCGAACACAGATTAGTCCCCGTGAAAGACTTTTACAAATTCTTCCCCCCGGGTACTTACAAAATCACTGAAATTATCGAGGTAGACCTAGACTGAGTTCGCAGTACACACATCTACTCACATCCATCCGATATAAAAAATTAAAAAAATGTAAACAATCGGTACTGAAACAAATATGTTACTCTTATAAATAAATATAAATATATCTATACATAAAAACAAAATGCTAAACAAATACACATATATGTATATAAATATCGTCTAATTATTTCTGATTGACCTCTTGCCCACCATCCCGCACCTCTAATTAGACCGCACAGTCTCATCCCAGGCAATTGAGATTTGCATCTCAGGCCTAAAACAGAGACACACGAGCGAAGTCCAGAGAGCGACGGAGTAAGAGCGGCACACGACCGTTGACCCGTCTGCCCCCCGGACCCGATACATCGCTCGACTCTCGCATCCACATGACCGTTTCTCGTGCGTGTCACGAGAGATAAAGAAAAATTCGACAAGTGTTACGCTCCGTTCATCCCCGACCGTTTCCAACAGCCAGGACGTAACATAGGATTAGTTGATAATCACGGAAAAAAAAATTAAAGTGTAGTCTTACTATAGACACAAATATGTTATTATGTGTTTTTCTATTGTATATTGTTTTTCAACAATAGGACAGTTCTTAGAGAAAAAATGTTTGGTAGTATATATTAGGAATTGGAATTAATTCAGGACATGCATAAGGGAGGGAGCCGCGAGGTCATAGCCCTCGGGTTTTCCAGGCTCCCTCCTGAGTGTCGGAGGACCGCCGAGGAGTTTTAGTGGGTAACCCCTCTTTGGGGAGTCCCACACTACCCCCACCCTCCCCCGAGAGTGGAGGTGTCCATCAAGGATTTCTCCTCGTAAAAAAAAAAAAAAAAAAAAAGGGGGGGGTCTCCGCAAAGTGTCCGGCAGGATCTCTTGTCCCCGAACTTAGAGCTCGTTCTTTAACGGAGGCAAAAAATTATTTGCTGGAGGAAGCAAGACATAAAGAAGTAAGGTATTTTTCCCGGAAAATAAGTCGTACTCGACAGACCCTGGTATGAGAGGTACAGGCGACCCCTACCCAGGCCCTTGGTGTCTCTTATATCACGCATCAGAACGTTTCATACATGCGTTAATGCACATCTTGCAGATAAATCCATAACTGAGAACGCTTCATGTGACTGTGGTTTCCCAACACAAGACGTCAATCATATATTTTTTAACTGCCCCTTACATAAAGATTCTTCTGACCTCTTAGTTTTAGATCTCTTCCATAATGGTTTTAGCCCCCCGTATGACGTGGCCAACATTGCCTTCTCTGATAACATCGGTGCTATGCATGCTCTGCTTCTATTTGTCACCCGCAAAAAGCTATCCATCTAATCCATTTAACTCCTTAATTCATATACTCCCTTATTTTATAAGATAGTATCCCCACCTCATGACATTCACCCCCTCTTCATCCCTATAATATTCTACCAACATGATTTTCCCCACCTCTCAACATACATTGGAGATGCGCTCCTAACCATCAACAAATCGTCTCAGACATCGGAGCACCGCTCCTAACTAGATTCTATATGACACAGAATGGCGTATGGACTAGCTTAACAGATCCACTGAGCCACAACAGCACCAAACCAAACCTTCGAATAAATCTAGATCACCAATAAATTGCAAAGCCAACGTTGAAGCAAATAAACAAAATCGGAAGAAATATTCTATTGTGTGGAAATATTTCAAAAAATCAAATAATCGAAATCTAGCAAAATGTATTACTTGTGGTAAAGAATACAAAACCAGTGGGAATACAAGCAATTTATCTGATCCACTTAAAGCAATTTCATCCAACCTTTACTGAGGATACAAGTGATGAAAATTTAACATCCTTTACTAGCAGCAGTATTTCTGCCCGTTCTAGTACCAGGTCAGTTAGTCCTTTTTTTAAACGGGAAATGTATTATGATAATTCATCCCAAAGGAAGAAACAGTTAGATAGAACAGTACTCGAAATGATAACTACAGATTTTCAGCCTTTCACAATTGTTAAAGACACAGGATTTAAAAAGTTAGTTAATCTATTAGATCCCAGATATAAACTTCCAAGTACATATATATTAAGTAAAACATTACTTAAAGAAGCATATTTAGAAGTATATAATAAATTACAAACTGAACTGAATAAAATTGACTACGTTGGAATAACTTGTGATTCATGGACTTATATTGCTACTGAATCATATTTAACAGTCACATGTCACTATGTAGATGAATATTTTCATTTAAAATCATGTGTCTTGTCAACGAAACCATTATCAAATGGAATAAATCATACATCCAAAAATATTGCTGAAACTTTGAAAGATATTTTTATTGAATGGCAAATAAATGACAAAACATCTTGCATCATAACCGACAATGCTGCCAACATGATCAAAGCATGTGATCTATTACAAAAAAAGCATTTGCCTTGCTACGCACACACGCTTAATCTGGTAGTGCAGGATAATCTTAAATTAATTCAACA